TAGGCTTGTTGATAAGACCTAGGCGAGGTCGAAACTGCAGTCCACCCTGGATTCAGAGTATGGTGAAGGCTCATCAATGGTTCATTTATGTTGAACAGATTTTCTCACAATTCGTTGAAGTGAAGCATTACTCAAATTAATTTCATGTATCTTAAAATGGATTCTTATACAATAGGTGTGTTTGGGATACCCATTCTTTTCGATATAAGTCAAAAATATACTCCACATTAAATAAATGCTTGTTTTGTATATATAATGCTTCGAAATTATAACATGAAATCTCATTGTAGGTAAAAGTCTTAATTCTCTAGACATCTGATCATTTGAAAAAAATCGGTGGGTTTGCCATTAAATTTTTGGAGCTAATATAATTTATTTGACCTTCTTTTCGCAACTTGGCCGTATGGTTAGGAATAGCTAGAAAAACGCATCTTTTCCTGATCCATAGTATGCATGATAATTTCCAGATTCGGATCGTTGAATTGGAACATTCGCAGACGGTTCGCTAGCATTTCGGTCGGTATCGTCTATGAATCTTACCTTTATTAGCACCAAACTACAATTCGTATGAAAACTTGTCTCTGATGAATTGCAATATGATGCTAATAACGGCAAGGCTCGTTGACTATGTCAATTACAATGCCATAACAAAAGCTTGGAATGTACCAAGTCCACGGTACGACTCTGGAAATTATCATGTATACTATGGACTTTAGTTAGGGTGTGATTCTCCAGTTCTTCCTGACTACGACCAATTTGTGAAAACGAGGTCGAATAACTTCTATATAACAAAAGGGGATTGTGACCATACTAAAGGCCACGTCATCTTGGTCTTCTTACCTTGGATTAATTTATTTTTTTGAAGTGGGTTGACTTCGTTTTCGCAACTTGGTCATGGTGTCAAGGCGATTTAGTTGAACACACCTTGTACGAAGTCCTCTGCCATAGTAGATATAATAATTCGCAGAATCAGACCATGGACTTGGTACATTCTCAGACATTTCGCCGGCATCATCAGTGAGTCTTGCCATTATCCGCACCAAACTAAAAGCTCGTCAGAGGCAAGTGAAGTCAATCCCTCGACTAACATTGCTGAAAAAGGTTACACTATCACTCCTCTTTCTCTCCTGGGCTATTTATCAATTCTTTACCCTTTTATCTAGCTCCCGCCATTTCACAGCTTCTCATTTATTTACATTTCACCTGTCAAAATGTGTACCCTTCTTTGCCAATACAATCTCGAGGACCACACCATTTTAGTCTTCATATCTTTAATTAATTTTTTTGTATGAAAAATTGTCTAAATGTTCTTAATCATCTGCCCGACGCTAGAAAAAAACATGCCACTAGTATGGACCCTGTAGGAATCATGCAATTCGATATAGCTGGAAAAAATAAGTTCAAGCCACTTCTATTCAGCTAAGGAATACAGCGATTACATCACCTTTGTTTTCACGTATATGAGGGATATATGAAAACCTATTTATAAGTGAAGAATAATTTCATATTTTGCATTTTGTTCTAAAATTTTTTGTGTCTATTTCACTTTTTTCGTTATGTAGGAAAGTCGTTCCGGCCTCATTTCGTTTAGTCTGGTAACTCGAAAGGGCAATAAGCCTCATATTGTGCCGCTTGCAGTTCCAGAAACGGTACACTTTGCCGCCCGTTATCTGCAGACGGAAACGCAAGAGCGCGAGGAGAAGGCACGCATGAAGCGG